CAAGGAAACAAAAAACGCGTTGAGCCCATTCGCAGATATCATGAGCCCATTCCCTGACCATGTCGGCATCAAATTGGTCTGCACGTTGGAAGGCATCGTCTGCCAGGTACATTATGCGAGAGAGGTGTCCGGAGGTATCTAGAAGCTTGTCTTGGACTCCTTTAAATCCTCTCTCCACCCCGCGGTGGGGGTTGTGACCACCTCTGTTCATGAAGGTAGTGATTACCTGGTCAAATTCCGGTGTCATGGCTACTTGGTCTGGTAGGGAAGGGCGGGGGCATTCCGACTTCAGTCGGTTGCGGACTATCTTGTCCATAGGTTTGCGCATCCATAAATGCATAAACTTTGCAAGGTGTTCCGTAGGCGTCCGGTCTGTCGAGCGGGGGTGCCTGATGTTTCGTGGATCAAAGAGCGTCTGGCCCATGGGGTCCAGAATAGCTTCGTCCTGTGGCAGGGTGGTGTCCCCTGTCCATTGCCATTCGGCAGCGAATGAGTCTGAATCCCTTGTGTGAAACATGATTCTGAGGCCCAGGCGTCGTCATCGAATTGGGAGGCATTAGCCTGCCATTCATCCAATATGGCCATAGTGTCATCAATGTCTTCCTCTTCCTCTGAGGATAGCGCCTGGGTGGGAGCAGGGGTAACGGCGGTCGCCGTTATGCTTTTCTTAATGGGCTGTTTGCCCTTGCTCGGTTTGGGGTCCTTCTCCCCTTTCCAATGGCGCTTACTAGCCCGGGTGTTGTCCTTAGACTGGGTTTCAGAGTCTTCAGACTCGGTGTCTGGGCGTGTGCGGCGTGGCCTGGAGCGTTCTGGTTGAATGGCCATCATATGAGATAGGGCCTTTTCCATAGAAGAGGCCACCACTGCATTTACCATGGACTTAAAGTCCACTGGAGTAGACTGTGAGTCTTCCATGATAGTAAGGACTTGGCACTTGTAGGAGGGCAGTTGAGGCAGGGGTCAGCAGTAGGAGAGGATCCTACGGTAGTTATGGTACCAGCAGTACCGGATTTAACCCCAGCAGGGTAATGTTCCAGAATAGTACTAGTAGTACTAGGGCCCCAGTAGGGTAGGATAGCTCAGGAACAGTAAGTACCAGCAGTACCTGAATATATCACCCCAGCAGGGTGTATTGGGTTTTGTGTCTGGGCAGCACCCAATATGCAGAGATTGCAACAGCAGAGCTCTGATAGGCAGCACCTTAATGGGGCCTCACCCCAGAGTGCACAGGGTATTGAGCTCTATAGTGCACATATACCACAGGAGTAACAGAGACTTTCTGTGGGGACCCCTGCCTGGATGAGAGTAGTGTGAGTTGATAGTGGAATCTGACACAGTAAGGGGATATGAGTGACCAATTGAGTTGTGGTAAGAATATGCAAACAAGGTGTTAGAATAAAACAATGCTTACCTTAAAAGACCAAGAGGTGTAGCTCTCCAACAGAGTCAGACCGAGTGGGTGAAGCTCCAAAATAGCGGCCGCGGATCTTGCGAGCCATGAGATCCAAGATGGCCGCCGTCACACTGAAAGTGTGGGAAAGTAGGAGCGTGAAAACGCGTGGTTAGGCGGCCGGGGGGGAAAGGGGACTGTAATACTAAGTTCCCAGCGGTTGGGAGGGGGGAAAACCGTTGAAAAACGCCCAGTGTAAATGAAAACCGGGGGGGGGGGGCAGAGTGCCCAGAACACATATAGGTAAAATTAACTGAGTAGAAAAATTAACCAGGCATAAAGGAATGACAGTTAAATAAAGATACACAGAAAAGGCAATAAATTACAAGCAATATAAGTATAATAAATATGTAAACATTGAATAAATATGAGGAGCTCAATATTCTGACCTGTCTGCTGATGGAGCAGTAAAGAAAGAGGGGGAGGAGACTGTTCACTGGGAGTACCATACCTCCTACTGTTTTTTGATTGGTTCTTACTATCCTTTTCTTTACTGCTATGGAATTTAGTAAAGAGAGTTATGCAAAATACGAAGCCTCCTGTCATGTAATAAAATTGGCAAAACCAATGAACCTTTGAATGGCTTTCAACCCATTGGGTAAAGGCCACTGTAGAACAGACTCTAGTTTTTTAGGATCCATCTGAAACCCTGAGGCAGAAATATTATATCCTAAAAACTGTACTTCAGACTGGTCATTTTCCAATTTACAATAAAGTTGTTTTTTTAATAAGGTTTGCAGAACTTGTTTAACGTGATCGTGGTGAGACTGGAGGTCAGGAGAATAAATAAGGATATCATCCAGATAGACCAAGACAAACGAGTAAATGTAATCCCTGAGTACATCGTTAATGAAATCTTGGAAAACCGCTGGAGCATTGCACAACCCGAATGGCATCACTAGATATTCATAGTGTCCACTTCTGGTATTAAATGCAGTCTTCCACTCATGGTTTTCCTTGATTCTCACTAAATTGTAAGCACTTCTAAGGTCAAGCTTAGTAAACACTTAAGCGCCCTGGAGTCTGTCAAATAATTCAGGAATAAGAGGAATGGGGTAGGCGTACTTAATGGTGATTTTGTTCAATGCCCTGTAATCGATACATGGGCGTAACTCACCATCCTTTTTAGATACAAAAAAGAATCCTGCACCAGCAAGCGAGGGTGATTTTTGTATATGGCCTTTATTCAATGAATCTTTAATATATTCCTCCATTACACTACTCTCCTAAGGAGATAGAGCATAGACTGCTCCCTTAGGTGGCATAGCACCTGGTAGTAAGTTAATGGAACAGTCATATGGTCTGTGAGGAGGTAGAGTATTAGACTGAGTCTTGCTGAATACTTCTTTAATGTCTTGGTATTGTATAGGGATCTTGGGATTTTGAGGTGTACTAGTGGGTAATTCAATAGTGCCAACTCTTTTGGTTACATGCAATATCGACTTTCATTACAATCCTTACCCCATTCTAATATTTCCCCATTAGCCCAGTCAATATGAGGGTTATGCTTGTTAAGCCATGGAAATCCTAATATAATAGGACAAGAAGGAGATGCAATCACCTGAAATTTAATCTCTTCCTTATGTAATGCACCAATGGAAATATTAATGGGTAAGGTTTCATGCGTTATCAATGGTTGTGAGAGTGGTCTCCCATCAATAGCTTCAACAGCTAGGGGTGATAGTCTCTCTTTGATAGGTATAGTATTACCTTTGACAAACTGAACGTCGATGAAGTTTCCAGCAGCACCTGAATCCATCAGGGCTTTGCATGAAAAGTTCTTTTTGTCAAAGGCGATAGAAATGTCAAGGAGAAACCTATTTTTATTCTTTTCAGAGGACGTTTCCATTACACCTAAGACCTGTCCCCTTAAGGTGCTTAGGTGCGGTAGTTTTCCGGACGTATGGGACAATTGTTTCTCATATGTCCCTTCCTACCGCAGTATAGATGTAGGCCTTCTTTTCTCCTATATTGTCTTTCTGCTTCCGACAGTCTAGTGACCCCCAACTGCTTGGGTTCGAGTTCGGACTGCACAGGAATTTCAGGGACAATAGGTCTGGAGAAACGGGTTGCTAAATGCATGCTCATGCGTCTGGTCTTGTTTCTAGTTGCTTCTCTGGTTCTTAATCTATTATCAATCTGCATGGCAAAAGTGCTAAATTCATTAAGCTTTTTGGGTAAGTCTTTGGCGGCAATCTCATCTAGCACAGTTTCAGATAATCCCTTTTTAAATGCAGAGATTAACCCACTATTAGTCCAGTCTACCTTGGAAGCTAGGGTACGAAATTCTATGGCATATTCTGAGATAGACCGGTTCCCTTGTCTGATGTGCATCAGGGCAGTAGAGGCCTAAAGGTTCAAACGTGAGTTTGAATTCCGTAAGGAACTCCTGGTAATTGTGTGCCACTCTCCTATTACTCTCCCATAATGGATTGGCCCACGCTAAAGCTTTACCTTTTAATTGATTCATTAGGTAACCAATTTTAGCTCTGTCTGTGGGAAAAGATCCCGGTGAGGCCTCAAAATGACACTCCATTTGGTTAATAAATCCCCTGCGTTTTGATGGTAATATCCAAGAATGCCAGAGGAGATAGGGAGATAGTAGGTGCCGTGTGTACTATAGCTGGAGGTACACAAGGTGGAGGTGAGGCCGCAGGTTGCAGATGCGCTGTTTGGGTAAGAAGCGTACTGAAGGCCTGGGCAAATTGATCCATGCGGTGATCATTATCCTCCAGTTTCCTTTCACAAGCAGCTATGTGCTTACACAATTCTACAGGATCTATGGCCATGTTGTAATGTCAGAATTACAGAATGATCCAGCACGTAGAATTGTGTAACACAGAGGACTGATAGGTAACGTATACCGGACCTTAGAATGGCCGGACTACCGTTCCAAAGAATAGTCAGGAATAGCCAAGGTCAAGGGATACAGAAAGATACACAATGATAAGGAAAAGCCAGGAGTCAGGGATGCCAGAAAACAGGGAAGTCAAAAACAATGCCAAAGTCAAATAACCAGAATAACAAAAATAAATAACCACGACAGGGCACTGAGCAGAATGAGAACTGGGCCTAAATACCCCTCCTTTAGCTCTGATAGGCTGTAACCGGCCTTTGACCCCAAACGCAGTTACCAGGTTCTCATTTGCATAATTGCTGCTCAGCATTAACCCTTCTGTGGATTTGGTTGCTGCTTGGCACAACTTTTCATGTGTTGACAGTAAATGCCATTAACCACATTTTTATAAGCGGATGAATACATGACACCATGTTGCTGAAGTGCTGCCCCCTGCTAAGACGTTCCATATCAGCTGGTGGTGCTGCTGGTTGTTATGACATGCTGACAAAGCTTTTCCACATTTCAGCAATGCTAACCCTGCCTTCTGAGGTGCTGGCGGTGCCCCAGCAGTGTTGGCGACCAATTCCTCCTCCTTTGCCTTCGCCTTGTGCTTTCACTGAGCCCCCGGTGTCAGTTGGGAATGCCCTCAACAGCGCGTCTACCAGCGTGCGCCTGTAGTCGTGCATCTTCCGATCACACTCCAGTGAGGGAATTAAGGTTGGCACGTTGTCCTTGTAATGGTGATCCAGCAGGGTGGCCAGTAATCAGCACAATTTAGAATGTGGGCACTCGGCAGTCATTGCGCAGGCACTTTGGTGACTCTTGATAACCTTGGGCCGATCGCACGACCCTTTGATGGCGACAACGCATTTGGATGTCTGCCCTATCAACTTTCAATGGTACTTTCTGTGCCTACCAAGGTGACCATGGGTAACAGGGAATCAGGGTTCGATTCCGGAGAGGGAGCCTGAGAAACAGCTACCACATCCAAGGAAGGCAGCAGGCACGCAAATTACCCACTCCTGACGCGGGGAGGTAGTGACGAAAAATAACAATATACAATATACTCTTTCGAGGCCCTGTAATTTGAATGAGTATACTTTAAATCCTTTAACGAGGATCTATTGGACGGCAAGTCTGGTGCAGAGCGACTGACCCATGCATGCTGCAGCTGAAACTCCACTATTGCCTTCTGCTGCTCGCACAGTCTCTCCAGCATGTGCAAGGTGGAGTTCCATCTCGTGAGCATGTCACATATGATGCAATGAGCGGGAAGGCCAAAGTTACGCTGCAGCGCAGACAGGCGAGCATGGGTGAGAACGCCGAAAGCGCGCACAGACGGCCCGCACTTTCTGCAGCAGCTCTGATACATCTGGGTAGTTTTTCAGGAATTTCTGCACCACCAAATTCAGCACATGCGCCAGGCAAGGGATGTGCATCAACCGGCTAGGCCCAGAGCTGCTACGAGATTTCGCCCATTATCGCACACCAACAGGCCGGGCTTGAGGCTCAGTGGCAACAACCACTAATCGGTCTGTTGTTCCATGCCCGTCCACAGCTCCTGCGCGGTGTGGGGTTTTTCCCCCAAACATATGAGTTTTAAAACAACCTGCTGTGTTTTCCCCCTGGCTGTGCTGAAGTTGGTGGTGAAGGTGTTACGCTGCCCGGATGAGGAGGTGGTAGAGGAGGAGGAAGCGGAGGAGGAGGAGGAGGCAGCAGGAGGCAAAGAGAAATGCCCTCAATCCACGGTGGCGGAAGGACATGCGCCAAACTGATGTCCACCTCAAGCCCAGCCGCCACTACCGCCCAGTGTGCAGTTAGGGAGATATAGCGTCACTGCCCGTGCTTACTGGTCCACGTATCAGTGGTTATGTGGACCTTGCCACAGATGGCGTTGCGCAGTGCACACCTGATTTTGTCCGCCAACTGGTTGTACAGGGAAGGCATGGCTCATCTGGAAAAGTAGTGGCGGCTGGGAACCACATACTGTGGGACAGCCACCACCATCAGGTTTTTAAAACTGTCCATCTCCACCTGACGGAATGACAGTATTTCAAAGGCCAGGAATTTTGAAATGCTGACGGTTCTATTTGACTCTCAGATATGAAGTGCACGCCACAAATGTACTTTTTAGCACCAAAAAAATGTGAATTAGTCAAACTGCAATGTCACAGCAGTATTTGACGGTTCTATTGACTCTCAGATATGAAGTGCATGCCCCAAATTTACTTTTTAGCACCCAAAAAATTTGCATTTTTCAGTGCGATGTAACCACAGTATTTGACGGTTTTATTGGACTGCAGGAAATGCACTGCAGGCCGCAAATGTACTATTTAGCACCAATTTTTTTTTAATTTTTTCAAAGTGCAATGTAACCACAGTATTTGACGGTTCTATTTGACTCTCAGATAAGAAGTGCACTCCACAAATGTACTTTTTAGCACCAATAAAAAGTGAATTAGTCAAACTCCAATGTCACAGCAGTATTTGATGGTTCTTTTGACTCTCAGATATGAAGTGCACGCCCCAAATTTACTTTTTAGCACCCAAACAAATGTGCATTTTTAAGTGCAATGTAACCACAGTATTTGACGGTTTTATTGGACTGAAAGAAATGCACTGCAAGCCGCAAATGTACTATTTAGCACCAAAAAAATTTGAATTTTTTCAAAGTGCGATGTAACCACAGTATTTGACGGTTCTCTTTGACTCTCAGATATGAAGTGCATGCGCCAAATTTACTTTTTAGCACCAAAAAAAATTTACATTTTTAAAAGTGCGATGTAACCACAGTATTTGGTGGTTCTATTTGACTCTCAGATATGAAGTGCACACCACAAATTTACTTTTTAGCACCCAAAAAAATTGAATTTTTCAAAGTGTGATGTAACCACAGTATTTGACGGTTCTATTTGACTCTCAGATATGACGTGCACGCCACAAATTTACTTTTTAGCACCAAAATTTTTTGAATTTGTCAAACTGCAATGTCACAGCAGTATTTAAAAATGCCTAGATGTTGCCCACTGAGCTACCAGAACAGGATTAAAGTAATGTGCCTGGCACTGACTGATTGCTTATTTCTCTGTGGCACTGGGTTCAGGGCAGGGTACCAAAATGTAGTATAGCATGTAGTATAGCACCCACAAAAATAATCGCTGTAGTTTGCAGATTCAACACCAGAATTCTTTCCTAATCTGTCCCTCACAGCTGCAGCATCCTCTCCCTACACTAATATGAGCTCATATGACTCCAGCTTATATAGAGGCTGGGTCACATGCTGCACTGGCCAATCACAGCCATGCCATTAGTAGGCATGGCTGTGATGGCTTCTAAGGGCACACAAGTCAAATGCTTGTTGATTGGCTGACCTGCAGCTTTTCAAAACGCGCCATTAAATAGCCGAACACCGAACTCGAACCCGATCTGTTACTGAAATGTCCGGGCTCAGGTTTGGGGTCCAAAAATGATAATGTTCAGTACGAACTTGAACTTTACAGTTCGGGTTCGCTCATCTCTACTTACAATCTATGGTAGGCCAATGTATATATCGTCAGGTGTCTTGCCCAAAGACACTTATTGTTAAGTTTGTCTAACCAGGAATTCGAGTTTACCAGTTCTAAGGCAATAATGTTACCTGCTCCAACCATTTAAGTTGCCCTACCACCATGCTCCGACAGTCGGGGAAGACAAAAAGTATGTAGATGCAGTGTTCATAAAAAATCCAGCAAAAATATAGGAGTTTTCTTAAGAATGGTGAACAGACAACACCTCCCCCTTGGATTCTAGGGATGAATTATAGTGTTTTTACTTAAAACTGGCCCGGTTCAGTGATATTAGATGTCTATGATAAACCTACATGGGGAGAACAGAAGAGATGCTTCTTTAGACTGTACCTCTAGAGAAACATTAATTATATGATCTCTCTATTAATCAGTTAAATGGATGGGGGTCAAAATGAGGTGGAATAAGGGAAGTCTGATTTCTGTTTTTTTACACACACACACACACACACACAATAAATTAATTGTATTCATTTCTACTTGGACAGTTTAACATTTTTGTTGTCATGGAATCAGGTATCCAAAGAGAAATCAAACATTTTTAATGCCATAGAGTCCCATACACGAGCATCTAAAGTAGACATGATATAAAATAATTAAATATGACTCTTTACCATAAATAATACCTGGGAAATACATGAGTTTAATCAATTGGATTCCTACAGTGTTGTTACAAAATCCTGATCCATGCTTGTGTAGTGTTATGTAATGATAGGAACTGTAAGCCATCATTCTCATATATCATTCGTCAATAGAGTTACATAGTTACATAGACTGAAAAGAGGCTTTCGCCCATCAAGTTCAGCCTATCTCATATCTGGTTTTACTGTTGATCCAGTTGCTATTCATACCACACTTTACAGGACAATTATGTGTTAGGGAATAGTTCTACATCCTTTATGACTTACTGATTATCCTTTGCAGAATATTCTCTATAAACGGGATACATGGAGGGTAATCTAGAGTGGCGTATAGCATCGTCAAAGTGATTACCTCACTACGTATTGCTGTAGGATGGGTGTAATACAGAAGGCAGGCAAGCAGGTGGTATTTTGAAGTCAGGCAGAACCAGTCTGACATGAAAATTCAATTCCAAACACAATAAATACTACATACTGTCGTGGTTATGGTGCCAGAAGTGCTGGGACACTTGCCCAACAACTGTTTTAGAACTCTTTGACTTCTTACTTGGGATCTAACTAGCACCACACTTTACAGGACAATTATGTGTTAGGGAATAGTTCTACATCCTTTATGACTTACTGATAATCCTTTGCAGAATATTCTCTATAAACGGGATACATGGAGGGTAATCTAGAGTGGCGTATAGCATTGTCAAAGTGATTACCTCACTACGTATTGCTGTAGGATGGGTGTAATACAGAAGGCAGGCAAGCAGGTGGTATTTTGAAGTCAGGCAGAACCAGTCTGACATGAAAATTCAATTCCAAACACAATAAATACTACATACTGTCGTGGTTATGGTGCCAGAAGTGCTGGGACACTTGCCCAACAACTGTTTTAGAACTCTTTGACTTCTTACTTGGGATCTAACTAGCACCACACTTTACAGGACAATTATGTGTTAGGGAATAGTTCTACATCCTTTATGACTTACTGATAATCCTTTGCAGAATATTCTCTATAAACGGGATACATGGGGGGTAATCTAGAGTGGCGTATAGCATCGTCAAAGTGATTACCTAACTATGTATTGCTGTAGGATCACAACCTGCCTTCTCTCAGCAGCCAGGAGACCTGCAAGCCAATGCTCTCAGCCTATGAGCTAAGCCCTGCACTGGTGAGCTTAGCTCAGACAAAGAGCTTACAGCTCCTCTGCAGGCTGGAGTTAAGGCAGGAGCTGTGCTCAATAAACCCCACGTAAGAAGTCAAACCGTTTTCAAATGGTTATTGGAGAGACAACTGGGCACTCCTTGCACCGAAATCACTACAGTGTAGAAATATTATTCCAAGCATCGTCCTCTTCCTTTGTAAATATTCACCTTCTTAAATTGTCACTAAATAAATGCATTTGTCCCTTTCTTGCTACTTATTTGACTTTCCAGAATATGTACTGTTGTGTCTCATGACTTTGCTAGTCTAGAGGCCATACATTTTTTGTTCTTTATTGCTATATTTTTATATTCAAATATTTAGCCGCTATGACAGCAGTTTAATTGAGCGCCCTTTAGCCATTAAAGTTATTTTACTAGTCAAATGTTTTGAATCGCACCTTCATGCATCAAAGGCCAAAACGGTGCTTGATCTTAAGGAATAGGTCATGTTTCCTAAGCCATTTAGTAGGAAAGACTTTTAACACATTTCAGTGATATGGGTTTTAGCATCATTGAACTGGATTAAAGCAATAATTCTAGGAGTCTGGTTTGTTGCGAT